ACATTTTTGTATGCTATCCCAATTTCTGTTCTGCCGAGATGAGGAATGTTAACACATCAGTGTAAGTACCTATCACCAACTTTTGTTTACACAAAAACACAATATCAGGTCAGAGTGTATTTTGAGAAAACATAGTTTAGTAGCTATCATAGTTTAGTTTATCTATAGCTACAATCATTAGTTACAATATCTAAGTTAACGTAATTTATTACAAAATTTGACTTGCGATACCTTTCACCTCCTGATGTTTTATCTTGTATTAAACGATAGTTATATATAAATCATACTTGAATCAAAATTATCTCCACAGAAGTACAGTTTAGATTTTGTAGACAATACCTTCGGGTCTCTTCTTGCCAATTTTAGCCAAGTATTTCTCATATTTAAATCAGTTGGCACTTTAATCCATAATTATCCCGGCATTCTTATGGTCGTATTTTTGCATTCAAGCACAATACAATAATGATATAGATGATAATTCATTATTAAACATTAAAAAGTATATTATTCCTTTGCAAAATTGGCAGAATCGACGATTGTGACGTCACGAGTTGAACAACATGGCGGCTAGCGTTTTCACACGAAAATTTAAAACGATAGATTAAAAGTAATTTTTATGGCACTATTCGGTTTAAATTAAATTTAAATTATATAAAAATTATAGTGGTTCATTATCACTCTAGGATTCATTTAAAACAATTTTTGAAAATGAGTAAAATACCCTATTACCTTAGTGTCTGGTCTTTTAGTGGTTCAGTGTTCAAAGTCGAAGTTTTTACTACGAAATCGATTCCACAAAAAACGCATAGTGTATGTGTATGTTAATCGTATCTTCAAGAAACACAGCATTGACATCGCAAGCTGTATCTGCTACTTTAAAACCACGTTGGAATCCGTATTCAAAATTATTCTAATTTCTGAAGTCTCTATGCTTAACTTAACGACTTATGTTATACTTAAAGGCTTATGTTAACGACATGACTAATGTACTTAAATACTGTACCTCTTATCAATATGCGGACGACACGTGTATCATATCTGCTGAAAAAGATCCACAAGTAGCGTTAAATAATTTGCAATACGACTTCAACAACTTAAATAAATGGTGTCATGACTCAGGCCTAGTGTTGAAAGCAGCTAAAACTAGGATGCTGCATATAAGATCTCCTAATATAAGAGAGAAAATTACATCCAACAATCTTATAGCTCATGATCACAGTTGCCTTCATAATTTGAGTTACCTTCCCTGTAGATGTCCACCTATTACTCAATTTTCTCACGTGTACCTTGGATTAAAAATTGATAGTACATTTAACTGGGGACCCCAAGTTGAGCGAGTATGTGACAAATTACAAGCATTCCTCGCAAACTTAACAATCATCAAAAAAACAAATGACTTTTATGACTCGATTAGCATTATATGACGCGTTTCCTAATTCTGTAGTCAGCTATGGCCTCTCCATGGGCGAACTTTCAAGACATGTCTAGATAGGATATAATAATCTTCAAATAAGAATATTAAAACAAGAGGTCTCACCTTACATAAAACAACAATTTTCGTCAAATGAAATACAATTATTTAAATATTGCAACGTACCATCCGAATACGACCAGTTCATACTCCAACTTCTTAAGGAAGAACTTTTTTAATAATTCTATTAAAATAAAAGTGGAACATAATAAGTGTCGGCCGATCACTCGCGGTAAGTTGGTCACGACAGTAGCGCGGAACACTTACGGCAGACGCACTGCTGTATACTTGATTCCTAGAATTGTCTCCTGAGTTTAGGAACTCTATTAACGAAAAAAATATAAAAACAAACTAAAGATGTTTCTAGTGAGTTCCTTGGATAGCAAAGATCGAATAGTTTTATAAATAAGTACTTTGTTTTTTCTTTTTTCCTTTTTTTAAGCATAGATCACTTAAGCACAGCAACTAACCCTTAGTGGTTTGCGTTGTATTTAGTGTGTATTATTAATTGTAGATTTTTATTGGTAATAAATTAAAAAAACTCAAAAACTAAATGTAAAAAAATTGAAGTTGTTACAGTTTTCTAGTAAAAAAATGGTTACGTCATTAAAACTGCAACAACATTGAAATAATTTAAACTATGATTTGATATAATATAAGCTTTCAAGGTTAAAAAATAAAAAGAATTTATTAAAAGTTTAAGAAATAAAAAGAATTTAATAATAGTCAGTACTACTTAACGATATCTGTGTTCTGCGTGGAGTCATAATTTCGATTTAAAACAAACGAAAAAAAACAATGATTTGCTTATGAAACTGGATTCTTACATTATTTACTCAAAAGTTTGTTTTAGTAACATCGCGCGCGCTTTTATACACTTGTAAACGTTTTATCTTTCTATGTTTTAATATTCTTCAAACGTTTGTATCTCGTTAAATATTTTAGATCAACGTGGTGCTGTAGCCAACTCACATCTTATTAAAGTTTGTTACTTTGTTATTATAGCTAATTTAGGGTCGTGATAAATATAAACGTATCAGTGATATGATACTATAAAAATTGCACAAATAAACCACGTTGGCATTTTAACCTCTCAACTTAACCAGGTTAAATTTCAACCCGGTTGGACGGATATTCCTTCAAGTCCCTAGCGGTGTCATGAGGTCGCACCCACCACAGCACTTTAACCCATAAAAATTTATATATATATATAGACAACTTTTCTACGAAGAGGTTTGGCACTATATAATTAATATGAAATACTATATTCTCTAGTGCAATATAAAAAACAGTTATCCTATGAATATTTATTTATAATCTGCGTTCATTTCGTACGCCATTTTCGAGTGAATGTTATTGTGTTGATTTTTGGATTTTTCTTGTGTTTTATTAGTGTTTAGTATAGTGTTTTATTATAAAATTGTAATGAAAGTTTTTGTGTGAATATAATTTATCTTTTTACGTAAATAATTTCGAGTATAAGCGTGTGTCGACATTCGCTTGGTATGTTTTTTTTTTGTTATCAAAATACAATAAAAATTTTTTGTAATTACGTAAAACCTGACTTTTGTTTTACGTAAAATATATAATATATATAATATATAAAATATATATAACCACAAGATAGAGAATTTTGTATAGATTTAATAATGCTAAACATCTTCATAGAAAATTAGTCTCTAAATATTTAAATTTATTGAATTATGTCAGATACAGTTTACCTTAACATAATTTAATAAAACTATGGCACTAATAATTTACCTTATCCTATTTATATATTAATATTATATACATAGTAAAAATTGAGATATTTGTCACTCAATCTCTCTCAAATAGTAAAAATTAATATAGAAACATTTTGTTCATACATAAAAACGGGGAAAAACATCCTTCGCTTTCTCTGAGCAGCCTTACGTAACAAAATAATATTTTGAAAATCACCAAAGACGTACGATTACAGTCGGGCAAATTGGCGATAGATCCTGTTGCCTCGAAACTTTAAGGTTTGCGGCCTTCAGTGTTATGGGCATATTACATTTGACTAATAAAGTTATAGTCAAAAAACTCTTTCACGAAAACAGTCAAAGTCATTATTGTCTGAAAAATGTTGATTAATAGACGTTTCAACTGAAAAATGTAGGTTGAAGTAATTTGGACCACGACATCGACATCAGGCGTATTCATTTTACAAATTGTTATATACTAATAATTTTAGGACAAACGGGTTTCTTCCACAGTCTTCTACGGGTACAAGATCTAGTTTGTGTTTTTGGCTTTCTCAACCTACTGTCACTGATGTACGAGTAACAAGAGCCACAACATTTAACAAATATTTAAATTTTTTCCATCCGCACGAAAATATTTTTTGTTATCAAAAGTACTCTTTTTGTTGTACAATTATGGAAATCAATTATATTTGTGCCATTTGCTGTAGAGAATATCGGTCCGTGGGGTCCACGTGCAATGAAGTTTCTAAAGGAACTGTATCCACGACTGGTCGTCGCTGCTGGTGATAAGAGGGCTGGTTCTTTCCTCGCTCAAAGGCTAAGTATAGCTATTCAGCGAGGAAACGCAACCAGCGTTCTTGTCACTATACCACGGGGAGCAGGTCTTTTTGACGATTCAAATTTTAAGTTTTAGGTTTTCTATATTATAGTTTCTTCTTTTATATTGTATATATAATTAATCGTAAATATTATAATTTTAATTATTATTTTAGTTAAGTTCTTTATTATAATGTTAAATATTATATTAATGAATTAAATAATTTTCAAAAAAAAAATTATTTGTAAAGTGTAAATATAATATAGCATATTAAAAATTCTATAGAACATTATATTTTTGTAGTAAATATGTAGTCGCAAATTGAGGGTAACTTTATATATTTTCTTCGGACGGAGGTATCGTTCAGTATAATCTAAAGTCCCTCTTCGCAGTTTCCGCAATTCATAGAGGTGGCGACTGACTAGTAAAGTAAAGTTACAGCCTATATACGTCCCACTGCTAGGCATAGGCCACCCCTCATTTCTGAGAGGGTTTTAGGGCAAGGAAGTGTCCGCCGCGCTGCCCCAATGTTGGTTGGCGAACTTCACATGTCTTCGAAATATTTTTTTCTCTTATTCCTCAGACATGCAGGTTTCCTCACGATGTTTTCCTTCACCGCCGAGCACGTGGTAAATCAGCACTTAAAATTGCAATTAACAATTTCATTGGTGCCTCTGAGCTATTATCGGCTCTTAGTATTAGTAAGTAAGTAGTAGTTAGTCATATATTTCGTGAGTACCTTTTACATAAATTTATTTTAATTAAATTTTTAACGGTTTAGTACTAATTATTAATACAATTTAATTCAGAAACATTTATGATAAGTAAAACGTAATTTTTTTTAAATATATATAACCGAAATAAATATTGAAATTTATTTATATTAAATAAAGATTTACATCAACCTCACCGCACGTACGCCCTCATATTTTTTAAATCAGGTATTTTATTGGATATAAAAACAAAATTTTATTTTTAATTACAGTGATATTTATACAGTTTGAGGACCAGAAAAAGCAAAGATTCTAAAAAGTGTCACAGATAGTAAAATTTGAGTATCGGGTGTTGACAAGAAAATATCATGATCTACGTTAGGTGGCGACAAATGTAACCACGTTTCATATCCATCCCTTACAGCTTATAAAAATCCTCACACTAGTTTCGCCATAGTTACCACGTTGGTCAGGTGAGTTGGTGACCGCACTTTTTTATTGTTAAAAACATGCTGCTGCCGTCTCTTAGTTTCCCTTTGTCGCGTCTTACGACACCCACGGGACGACATGGGTAGTGGATACTCTAAGGCCGCCACTACACGGTTATATTTAATAAGTTGGATTTAAATTACCCAAACCGGGACGTAGCGAAACAAAACGTGGAAGTAGGGACAATGGTGCAAAATTCCTGATACTACAATCGCCAAATCGCGAATCGCATTCGATAGCGCGAATTGCTAAAACCGCAGAACACGGAATGGACATGAGAAAATCACATTCCTAGCAACAGATTTTTTGTAGGCTCCTCCAGTATGCGCAATACAACACTATTTCAATATCCTTAAAATATATGAAAATATATAAGATTTTTTAACCTAAAACACTGCGTCTATCTATAGAGCACGATCAGTGACGCCTATAAACTCAAATGGGCATGCGGCCTACATTGTCATTGCAGCGATTGAGTTATGCCTGCATCGATATAATATTTCGTTTGAAATTTAGCTTACAAAAATACTTTGTCAGTAACATTTTTACCATACTTTTTTACACTTGTAATTTTATTCTAAATTAATTTATAAATTAAAATGCTTATTGTCTCGGTTTTTAATATAGCAAACGTTCCAAAATATAATAAATAAAAACTTAATAATTTTATGCAATAAATGAATATTAAATTAAAATGAAGCGAATAATGCGATATAAATATATTAATATTATATGATTTGTTATTTATTTTTTAAACACTAGCATAATTTTAAATTATACCAGGTAATACAGCAACATGATCTAAGTTCGCGACAATGAGGTAGATGTTGTTAGAGGTTAATTAAGGAAAAGTACAGAAGGTCTTGTGGGGTACATCAATCGCCAAACCGCCTACTAAATGTAACAATGGATTAAGCTAGCCTAGGAGCAAAGTTGTGACCTCCGAATAATGAACTCTGTAGAAGAAGAACAAGTAGAATCTCTGCTCGAAATAATCCAGGAAAAACGTCGTCGGACCATGAAGATTCAAAGAACATCAATGAAGACGTCACCAGCCAGTCCACCGAGGTGTCAAGCACATGCACTTTCAATCATTTACATGATTTTCAAATCAGCCACCGACGACCTCAAAAGGGGCTTATTAAACAGGTTGCGCCTGAGAAAATTACTTATTTGAAAGGTCAAAAAAACAAAAGTACTTCAGTTATTGTTTTAATTATTTTTATTTAAGAATACAATATCCCAAGTTTTTTTCATACAGTATTAAAAATGACATTGGTTAAATGGTGACCCCCATTGTGTATACACTGATTAAGTCAATTTATAAGTTCGTCTCCATTCTTCGCAGTATATCAATCGGTATGCTGTCAATGGCGTCACGAATGTTGTTCTTGAAGTGAGCTAATGAAGGGATTATAACCCCATAAATAAAAATCGCATGGAGCCAAATCTGGAGAGCGCCATGCTGCCCCCGTTAGTTAAAAGGACGCATCCAACAAAAAGTAAATTTCGAGAAAAAACAACAGACAAAACAGGAAAAAGCCTGCTGTGTAGTAAATATTTGTTTTTGTCATAGTGTTAATATATGATATTATTTTGTAAATTTTTTTTATTATACGCATGTATTGGATTTTTTAATTTAATTTATTTTAAATAAAAAAACCTAAAAAAGTGTTTTATTTTAGCACAAAAAATTATACGAATCACTTCCAACTGAGTAAAAAATTCCGGCTTTACTTAGCACACATACGATATTATATATTTTTAATTTATTCGTATTAATTTTGCCATCAAAAATTTTATTATATAAGACGTTTCTGCAATAATGTCACTTTTATTACGAATGAAATAAGTTTGCAATGATAAAATTATTTCCATATTACCTATCAAGTAATTATTTCGTAGTGAATGTCTCTTTATTTTAATCAATACTTATTTAAAAACATTGAGTTATGATATATAAATCAATGTTTAAAAAATCCAAATTTAACAAGCTAACTCGGTCTGAATTTCAGTCACTGAGCAGCGGTTATAAAATGACATATATATAATTTTTTTATAGTAAGTATACTTAATATTTTCAAAAATTTTAAACTTTACAACACCAGTCAAAAATTACACGTTTAAATTATGAAAGGCTTCATAAAATGTATTTAATAGAGTTATAAAAAACGAGAACATAAAACTTTAATTCCACTTCAAAAAAGTTTGGTGATACTTAAAATCTACACTTTGATGAGATCAGGTTTCAGAGTATTGTTACAAATATAATTAAGAGTAAAATAAAAGAAACTCTCTACTATTGAACTACTACTCTCAACTATTAAAACCCGAACACATAATCACCTAAAAGTACACCTCAACATAGTTTTATGATCTTTACGGTTTTACCACAACCGTAACCAAGTGTTATAAACACAAAGTTTATATATTATATTTTTGTGACTACTAACATAATAACTAGACTTTTAGGGAACTTTTAGTTTCTAAGGCATTACCACAGCCATAAATATTATATCCTCTTATAGTAATAATTCAACATCTTATAGTTTCTACCTTCAATACAATACCTATCTGTCTATGAGTATAAGTTAAATAAAGTATAATAATACAAAATCTTCTTCTTACACTTTGTATTCTGTGATCAAATTCACTGAATCATTATTAACCTGTAAATTATACCAATATTCCCTTCCATTTTCAGGCGTATATCCTTTTGCGTTTATAATATAAAAATAATTAGAAATTAATAATTATATTATTTATGTAGTTATGAAAATTCACATGTTATATCGTAGCAAAAAATAAGTAATATTGACTAATTTTCTTAACACATAGTAACAGTAATAAAAAAATTGTTACTTACTTCACCAATTTAATGTTACTAGATATTACAAATAACTATCCACTAACATCTACCCTGTACAATGAAATTCACAACTTTACTAGAAAAGTATCAAAATATTATACAAAATATGTAGATATTTAAAATAATTATTGGTGACTACTAAAATAGATACAAAAAAAATCATTAAATTGGATTACATAACTGAATTGCAGTGTAAATTGTAGGTAGTTTGATAAAATATAATATTCTTAAAAATTACTGGGCTATCCTCAAATAATTAAAATACTATACAATAATAAAATAACATTATGACGAAAACCTAGCCGTCAAAATGCACGGAAAGTAGTAAAAAAGCATTATTTACATAATAACGATGAAAGTATTGTTATCCCGTAACTATTTTGCGATCCTGGGAAATGAACGAGGGGCAGCCGCTGCGTCTTCCCTCGGTAGCCTCGTAGACGCAACCTGGTATATAGTGTATTATCTATGGGCGCAACTGACAGAATGTCGAACACTTCCTTTCCTCCTGCACCCCGCCATATATGAAAACTAAATAGAAAAGACACCTCTACCATTTGTGACTTTTGTATTAAGTATGTTAATGACAAACTTTTCGACTCCTTATTAAAATAAGACGTATAGTCTACACCATGTATTTAAAATGAAGGACGCATCTGGTATAAATATCTTTTTTGCGCAACGATAAAAAAAAAACGTAAATGGTCAGTTACGTTTTTTTATCTTACGGCGCGAAACTCTTAAGTAGAGGCGACTTTTTTATTATCGTAACAACAGATAATTTTTAATAAAATAAGACACATATTATACAAAAATACGTCTTTTTATTTAAGTGTTTGTTAGATGCGTTTTAACTTCTTAGTAAGATCACATTCACAGATGTAGATACGTCTTTTTGGTTATCGGTAAATACGAAACTAAGCAAGAAAGCTACAATTAAAAAATATACGCAGATCCGCCTTTTTTCCTCATTCTGGCAATATATATAACTCTGTTCTTGAAAAAAATGTAGATACGTCCTTTTAACTAACGGGGGCAGTATGCGAGATCGCCTCTGAGAGAGATGAGGCGGTCGGGGAAATGTTGTCGCAACAAATCCATTGGAGCTCGTGCTGTGTATGCTGTGGCTCCATCATGCTGAAACCACACGCCCCTAACGTTCATTTCTTCGAGGCTTGGAAGAAAAACTTCCTCGGTCATGTTCCTGTAACGAGCTGCACTTATGGTAAATGCGCGTTCGTTTTCTTCAAAAAAACTAAGGACCAATTATTCCCATTACCGATATCGCACACCAGACAGTAACTCATTCACAATGAAGTGGCTTCTGGTGAAGTTCACACGGATTTTCACCACTCCCATAACGCAATTTTTGTTTGTTAACGTAGCCGGAAATGTGCAAGTGAGCCTCGTCACTGAAAAAAACGACCGCGTCTTGAGTCAGGTTGTCAAGCAGCACTTCACGTGCATTTTGACGGGCAACAAAATCGTGTTTAGTTAATACTTGCACAACAGCCAATTTATAGGGATGAAATTGAAGGTCTTTGTAGAGAATTTGTCGAACAGTGGTGTCAGAAATTCTCAGAGCAGCTGCATGTTTGTAAGCCGAACGCCGGGAAGAACGCAGAATTGACTGCTTCACTCTTTCGATATTTTCCGGAGTTCTAGGGGTCCATTGATGTCCATTCCTGAGTTTGGCGACACTTAAACACTCCTGAAATGAGTGAACCCACGACAGAATCGAATTACGGCCAGGAACGAATCTGTGAGGAGGAATTTCGAAAGGAGTGCCGAAAGGCACGTTGCGTAGGAACAAGTGAGCGACCGTTAGAAAAGAAGCTCTCGACGTCGAACGCCCGCTGCCCTCTAGACTAGAGCATGATGGCAACTGACTAGAGGGGGAAACAAACATAGGGACTTCCCACTCCAGACGCACCAACTCTCTTCTATCTACCCTCTCA